CGCGACCTGCTGATGGGACTAGAACACGCTCCTTCTGTCGTTGGTAGTTGGCCCTATTTAAACTGTCGTGTCGTCCTCTCTTATCTCTGTTAGCCGTTTATGTTGGCCACTTTTTTTCTTTTAACATGGATAAAACTTGTGTTATTGTTTTTCTTTTTTTATGTTTCACCAAGCAGAAATAAGGGGGAGAGAAACTGCTTATTTATTATCAAATTATATTATTTCATTTAAGGACTATTCGGGGTCTGTAGTCCTTAAATGGTAACTGAAATAGGGATTTTTTTTAAACTACCATTGCAATTTACATGAAATTTACAATAAATAAAGTTGTCCACCCTGTTTAATGGGTCATCGTGTTATTGCAAATTTACATTTTATCACTCTATCGTATTAGGCAACAGAGTATATCTACTTATAGTAGGTAACTTAAGTAAGAAGATAACTATAAATTGTCTTTGTACAATCTCAATAATTATGCATGCACTTTATAAATAACTAGCTGACCCGGCGAACTTCGTACCTCCTCTGAATTATTAAATACCTATTAAATGTTGTGTGAACGTATCTATTAACTGAATTAAATTCAGTTTTTTTCGATGGTGAATTTGGCTTTGGTCGGAGAAAATTAATTTTTCCTACGAGCGTGCGCAAAGTAGTACTTTTCCGCACGCATTTCGGTTCTCAAAGTTGCACTTTTCCGCACTCAGTGCGGATACAGGCCTTATCCGCACTGAGTGCCGAAAAGTAAAAATAATTGTCAAGCAACAATAAGTGCACCTGTCGACGTTGACACATGATGACAAATTTTTCCTCTGTTTCTATATCAGCCAACATCTATACAAACACCAAATTTAATTAACTTTGACGCATTGTCAGATTTGTTCTCTATTGATATGCAAGAATTTACAAACTTTCTCATCAAATTTGAACGTTTTAAGATAAAGGGCTCTGACGATGATTTTCTGTTATTTTTTTTTTCTTCTTATGTAATTTTTTGATAACTGCATAGGTTCGCTTCAAGTTAATTAAAAATAATTGAACAAATTATTGTTTTTTTTTTCTAAATTTTGGTTGTTACCTACCTGATATGAAGCTCGTAGGAAAAATTTAGTTCCTAACACGTGCGCAAAGTGTCTTTTCCGCACGTAACACTTATCCGAACTCCGCTTCGCGTCGTTCGTATAACTGTGTTTGCGTGCGGAAAAGTAACACTTTGCGCACTTGTTAGGAAAATAACTATTTTACTCTCTGAATCAGAAGTCACCTAAAATTAAAATTTTATATCATCCCTTTTTAGGCATCTTGTGAGCATTATTCTTATAAACTGTACCACCAAATAAATAAACTCAGGCACAGGAATGTTCAAAAAATGTAAAGAAAACAAAAAAAATCTCCAGCGCAGCCCTGTTTCATTTTATCTGCACTGCATGCACTGCAATACTCCATCTGTTCTACTGTATCTGCACTATTCTATCTGATCTTCTCTTTCTGGGCCACTTTATCTGATCGGAATAGTGGAATAGTTCTGTTCAGAATAGCTCCAGTTCCTTAGCAGTATTCTGTTCTACTGTATCTGCAATGAAATTACCGCACAACGGCGAGCTTCGTTCTAGGTACCTATCATATATGGCGCCGTATACAAAATGGTTGTGGCGGACTCATAACCTGGCACTCTGCCACTCGACACCGCCGGACGGAGCACTCCGAACAGTCGGCACGGAACACGGCTGTCAAGGGATGCCTAAGAGGAGAAACGGAACTTAGCCACAGAACGTCAATGGTCAAGCGTCAAGAAATGACAGGAAGACCAGTTCGCGCTCTTTTGGAATGAACGAACCAACAACAAAATAAAATACACAATTAAAACATCGTCATTCTATTTATTTTTGGGCATTTTTACTGTGAAGAACAATTAAAAATAAAGTGCTTTCCTCAAATTTTTTTTGTGCAAAGTGTGTGACAATAAAATCCACATGGTTTGCAATGAAAATGTGACGGTAAACTTGGTATCGGTTGACGGTTATAAGAGATGGCGCCGTATGCGGGCTTAGTGAGTTTTTTTCTTAAATAAGTAAAATAGATTATTTTTTGTTTTGTTTTTTTTTCTGGATTTTTTCGATTTATTATCCTAGGATGGACAAAGACAAATCCAATAAAGCAAAAATCATAAAAATCAGTCCAGCCGTTCTCGAGTTATAAGTGCTCAAATACCAGCACAACTGTGTTTTATATATATAGATATAGGTACCTCAAATCACACTGAATAATCATTAATGACTCATAACAAATTTAAAAAAAAATCGTTATACATACTACTTACCTATTACCTTTTATGTAATAAAAATTCTCCTATGGATATTTATTTTTAATTCACACATTGTAGAATAAGCAACAAAAGCTCATTTCTCATTTGGAAGCGTGTGCATGTCCAAAAGTACACTATCGTCCCGGACAATCGACTCTGTTCGCTTTTTAGACAAACATTTACACGGAGACAAACATTTGTAGAACGTGTATGACCACTAAATCAATCATTCCTCCTGATAATGGTAATTTCAAAACTGTCATTAAACTGTCCTATTTATGGTCAGTTTTTAACATGGAAAAGGTTCGATTGCTGATAATTAATGGTAAATTGAGTTTATCGATGTGTCAATAAGAAAGGATTTAAGGTAGTTCGTCGGAATAGGCTCGTTCAGTGAGGTTCCATTAACCACGTTTTTTGATATTTTTATGGAGTATTACTCACATATAGCACAAAAAAAAAAATTCAGCGCAATTGGATAAATATTAAAAAAGTTATGCGGCTTTGAATAATAAAACATTATGCCTCAGAAATTCATCGCTTAGAGATGGTATGACGTCATCTCTCAAGTCAAGACGGGCTAAAGGCCGTCACACGACCAACTTGAGAGATGCAGTGACGTCACCGCGTGTTTCGAAATTTTCAAACTTGGAGCTTTTTGATAATTTATTTAAATATGAACAAGGGCTCGGAAAATTATGAAATTTTGCACAACTGCTAAACTCAATACGCTCTTTTAGAATATGTAATAAAAAAAATATGCTGAACGAGCCCATTTCCTTACATTACTTCTGAAATAGAAATACATAATAGTTGGGGAGCTGGCGTCAAAAACATGCAAGAGTTTTCGCAAGGCGGATATTTTCAAAATAGGTCGTACTTCAGTGCTAGAATGCTAGTGTACAGTCAGCACTCACAGTTCCGGGACAGCTGGCTCTGGGACGCGGGCAAAGTTGTAATTTTAAGAAGCATCTAAACTGTTTTCTCAAAGCTCAAAATTTATAGAAATTTTGCACATTATCTGTTTGAAGGTCACAGATAACATATTATTATGTAAATCGTCAGACGTCTAGTTCGTTGCAAAAAGGGGGTCAGACGTCCTCAAAGTTTTTATTTTATGGCATTTTCTTCGGTGTCCTGTCAAAATATATTTTTGCAGGTATTTGACAAATATATATGAAGAAAATGCCATAAAATAAAAACTTTGAGGACGTCTGACCCCCTTTTTGCAACGAACTAGACGTCTGACGATTTACATACGTTATCTGTGACCTTCAAACAGATAATGTGCAAAATTTCTATAAATTTTGAGCTTTGAGAAAACAGTTTAGATGCTTCTTAAAATTACAACTTTGCCCGCGTCCCAGAGCCAGCTGTCCCGGAACTGTGAGTGCTGACTGTACACTAGCATTCTAGCACTAAAGTACGACCTATTTTGAAAATATCCGCCTTGCGAAAACTCTTGCATGTTTTTGGCGCCACCTCCTGGACTATAAGTCAAAGTGGCCATATAGGCTCTCATCATAGTGGTTGATGTGAGCAGTCCCTAAATTTGTCAGTGAGATGAACAAATTGGTAAGATTTTACTTGTAGGGCAATCAATTTCAATATCTTTCTCAATATTAAGTCTACAATGATTTTTCGATTTACAATGGAACTTGATAAAAATTGAAATTCTTATCGATTCTTATCCTCGTGGGGGACCACAATCCTTGAGAAGCTCATTAGCACTTATAAGCTTATAGGTCCAGCAATAAAATCACGTTAACCAATTCGGCTGAATTTTTCAATTTTTCATTTTCTTGACGTCCTTTTTTCAAAGATTTCGACTCCAAATCTCACAATAATTTGCTTTATGGAGTATGAAGGGTATCAAAGGAGCATTTAAACATAAAATCTCAAAAACAGCGATTCTTATCATCGTGGAGGACTACAATCTGTAAAAATTGAAGATATGTGATATTTGTACTAATAAATTGCACCATTATACCTTTCGGCTTTTAGAGATAATACAAAAACCGACAAGTAATGAAAATCGTTTATAGGCTTTGATTTTGGTAAATATTAGTGGAACTTTAATAAACCCTTCATTTAGTGAAGTGAAGATAACATTTTCAATAAACGATTAATGAGTTTGTTCAAGTACCTACATATACCTACCTACATAGACACTTGAAAGTAGAAATCATTTTGATTTATACAGAAAGTTTCTACACAAAAATTCACACATGGAGAAATTGAGCAATGATATTTTTGCATAGGTAAATGCTTTATGCTACAGCTGGTCAATACATAAATCGTTGCAGAAAAATCGCAGCTTTGCATAAGTATTTCGGTTAAAAATCTATAGGATTTTATATGCAAAAATATTTAACTTATCCCTCTAATCTTATATTTAGCACCTTGGCACCTTGAAAACCAGATTAGCTACCCTATACCTCAAATTACCACTGATTCAATTACACTGCTTTTACGTGGTAATTGTAGGGCCTTTAAAAAGGCCTAAAAGGTGATAAGTAGGCATCTACAAGACCCGATGCATAATAATAACGCCAAAAATTACACACGCACGTGCTAACTACCTTTTTTGCGGCATCATATTCGTCTGGCTGAAATCGAAATGCTGATAATGTGCAATTTTACGACCGAAAGTATAGGGTCAAACATAATTTGATTCAAATTTTTTTCTTTGCAGCAAGTAGCAACGCCGACTGTTGTGAAAAAAATCCTGCGTTTCAAGCAAGAAAATCCCGGCATGTTCGCATGGGAAATACGGGAACAGTTGATTTCGCAACGGGTATGTGAGCCTCACAATATCCCCTCTGTCAGTTCGGTAAATAGGATTTTGAGGAACAGCGGAGTGTGGCCTGATCAGGATTTCATGCCTAGGGCACAACATGGAACTTCAGCAGGTAAGTTCAATTGAATTTTATATATTTTCAAATAAAATATTTAGTATTTTTTATTTGCAGATTTCTATCCTAAACACACAAGCCCGTCACTTCCATCATATTTCTCGCCTTCAGTACATGAGTCTGCTTCATCATACCCCCCTAGTTCTAGAATAAGTTCCTTACACCACCAACTTCATGTAGTCACTAATACTGACTCAGCTCCTAGTTCTTCGTGGTCTAGTTTCAATAATCTGGTCATTCCATATCGGGATTATTCACCAAATTTACCGAAGGAAACTGATACACTGCCACAGAGGGATGAACCAAAGAAAAATCCATATTCGATTGAAGAGATTTTAAAAAAGCCTAGCAAACAAATCAAGCCTTCTAGTCCTGTGGGGTGTGTGAATGTTCATCAACCAGTTGGTGCTATAATCACTACGGAGGATTTTGTTGTAGCACATCAAAGTCATAGTGATGATGATGATGAAAAAGATTTAAAAATTGATGTAGATTAGTATATAATATTTGCTTCTTATTTATTTAATTTATTATTTCAAGTCTCATTTTTGCTAAAAAAAAGTCCCTAGGATGTGTTGCATTTACGTATAAATTGTTATTTATATAGCAAAATCAGGTGATATAGCTTTTTGTGTCATACTTTGAGCCATAATTAATGATGTAGACTGTACTTTATATGTTCCTTGTAAAATAAGCTCTTCACAAAATCTTTGTAAATACAATAAACTGTAAAATAATTTTGTTTTATTGTCCTGAGAATATACCTAGAATTACACAGTGCATTAATTTTATTTGACCACTCAGTACTGGTGGTCAAGAAACTGTTTACACTCAAATTGATAATTAGGTATAGCTGAGGAGGTTATTGACATACAATAATGAAATGTCTGGCGTATCAAATAATGGATTCGATTATAGATTATAGATTTGAAAACCTGCAATAGAGTTTTATGATGTCACAGGTCACAGACGAAAATCTGTACCAACCTGGGTCTGAGTATGACTTTTTTTTGCCCTTAGGTGGTATGAAACGGTATAAACTATACTCGATAAGTTTGAAAGCTCATATAGCAATGATTTGAATGAGTTAAACGACATCTAGTTCATTAAATTTAAGGTCCTTCGATAAAGATCTGAGATTACTTACAGGTCATTTGTCACAGTATGGGATGGGAATCATTGAAAAAAAAAGGAGGTACCTATGCAAATGCCAGTTTTATCATATGCCGCGACTTCCTCCTTCGCAAAGTTAGCTGGATTGCAGAAAGTGATTTTCTGTTGCCGAAATCTACTCACTCCTTGGCCGAGCAAACTCTGATAGATAGTATGTACTCCATGGAACTTCAGCATTTTATAACAATGTTGCTACAAGATCCCTGGATCTTATTTTAGCAACTGAACTTTCTCTTCCTGTAACCAAAACGCAGTGACTTTCCGTTCTGTAGGGTGGTTGATATAAATCCACCTTTGGAGCCTATAGTTTCTCATACGAGAGTAGACAAAAGCTGAAAGCCGAAGAGCGTACTACTATCTACCCATTTGAACAAAGCAAACTATGCGGAACTGAACAATTATTTCAATAGTATTGACTGGAATCTGTGTTTATATAAGTAATAGTGAGTCGAATGAAGCGGTAGCTAGTTTGTACGAAGTTATACAGCAAGGAATATATCAGTATGTTCCCAAAAAAAGGCATAAAAAAAACATTGCGGTCGACAAATATCCCACTTGGTACAACTCTAAACTGAAAAAGTTAATTGCACATAAAAATCGACTCTATAAGAAGTACAAAAGATCAAGACTCTCTGAAGCCCGGAACAACGTGAAGTACCATAGTGACGTGTGCTACCTGTTACATGTTACCAAAGGTGAGGATTTAATTCCGTTAAATGCGAAACAATTCTGGTCATTTATGATAAGATCCTTGAAGGAAGATGCAGGCTTGCCGAATCAGATGCACTTTAACAATATCCGTTCTTTGAACCCTCAACATATTGCTGAACTCTTTGCCACACACTTCAAGAATTGTTACTCTGCGATCATGAGTAAATACAGAGAAAAAGTCGGATCTCGATGCCTCAAAGGGCCCTGGACTAGATGGTCCTTCCCCAGTGTCTACTTAAGGCTGTGGAACCTTGTGGCACTTCTGCAATAGAACCTCTGAAGCATATTTTCCAAATTTCTTTCGATACTGGCATTTTTCCCAGAAGTTGGAAAATCACAACACTTTAACATATCCACAAATCAGGAAATGGCAATGATGTGAATAATTATAGAGGCATATCTACTCTACTAACGCAGATTCCCATAAGTTGTTATTAAAAAAACTCTCAGATATGGGCATCGGTGCACGTTTCTTGAAATGTATAGAATCCTACTTAACGGAAAAAAGTCAGAGTTATTATGTGTGCGATTCAGTATCCCACGAATTCATAGTTCCATCCGGGGTCCCTCAAGGGATCGCACATCGGACCGATACTGTTTGTTCTTTTCATGAATGATGTCATCCAATGCTTCCAATGGACAGGTTGTTCGTTTGGTGCAACTTAAATCTTCTCGAACCCAATGTTACTAAGTACAAACATATGATTTTTCGCAAGACCATAAATCCTATACTGCCCACATACACGAACCATCATTAGAGACATATACGATACAAAGTCCGATATCTGTCTATATTACGGTCCCATTCGATCACACTTGAATACTGCAGCCCAATTTGGACTCCAAAGTTACGTATGCCACATTAAAAGACTAAAAGGAGTGCAAAATCTGCTCTACAAACACAAACTGAGATTTCCTTAACAGAACCTTGAGTATGAGACCGTCTACAGCTCGGCGGCATACCCAGCCTTGAAAATCGACGCATCATGACACGTCTAGTCACTAATTACAATCAGACTTCTCCCATATAGATCTTTTAATTTAATAAAAAAAGAAATCAGTAGGTACCTACATAATTACAAAGGCTGGTATGCTTTATATTTTTAATAAGTTGTAAGTCTGCATATCATTATTTAGGTTTATTTCTTGAGTGTACCATTGTTCTGTAGAGTGGACTTAAACATAAATGAATAAATAAATTTGTTAGAAAATAATCGATTTAAGGCCTTTGAAGTTCCGGGACATCAAATCTGCTTTAGATCTTAGCAAGAGGTTTTCACAATCTTTCTAACCCTTGAATTTTACTTTGGCATATACAGGATGTCCTTTTCGAGGGCAACCGTTGGGATAATTGGGATATAGGAAACGGTAAGAGATACAGGTTTGGTTAAATTGGGGTAGAATATTCCAAATTTCAAAGTGGCGTTTTATTAAGCAAGAAATTGCGTAACTTTGCCCCAATTTAACCGAATCTGTATCTCTTACCGGTTCCCATATCTCAATAGCCCTCGAAAAACGGACACCTGTATATTATTAACTAAGAATGAAAATCTTATATTCTATTAAGGTCCTGAATGTACTCCGTAAAAAATAAAGGTGGTACTTTTTTACAATTGGGTTTTGCAACAGTCTCTCCTGTTTGTCGTTTGATGGATTGAAATGTTTTGTAATGTCGTCCTAGAGTCAAGATGAATAACTTTTAATACTTATGTCAAAAGGGGACCAGTATGCCAGAGTTCGTCTAAAGAATCTGTTTGAAAACCGGTCTTTCTTTTATCAGCCTGTTCTCATCCACTCCAAATGACTTATATTTTATCCAGTTCTCATGTCCATATAGCTGACCTCGTTCAGTTTCTTACATCAGTCTTTTCATATTTTTCTTGCTTTCTCAGAGAACTAGTGGCCATTGGCAGAAAAAGACATTTCGAATTTTCGACTAATGAATCTGAAATTTTTATACAGTGTGCTTTTCAGATCTCACTGTATATGCTGCATTTCTCCGCAGCCTATTCGGACTCTTCAGAAAGATCGAGGATGATTTTTTTGCGATTCACAGTTCTTTGACCTCATCCACGAAATCCGCAGAATTGAGTTTTCGTTTTTTACCCAATAAAATAATTGTCCTGGGGCTGGATTCTCGTCTCAGGGATAGAACGAATGTTTTGTCTTTGTCAACGTATTCGAAAAGTAAACGAGAATGATAAAGACGAAAAATTTGTTCTCTTGGGGAACTCTACTCCCGGAGACGAGAATCCGGCCCCCCTGGAGTAGAACAAACGGTTTGAATCTACGATCTGTCTGATTTTCCAATAAGATATAGTATCTATATTGTGTATTTAGGTGGAAAAGTGACACATTCTCGGCCGACGGTGTAAGTTGACGGGCGAGGCATAGCCGAGGCCGGCAATCACCGAAGGCCGAGAAAGTGCTTTTCCACCGAAATACACATACTATTTTTTCTGCGATCGGTTAAATATCTGTTAAATATTTGTCTTTTTGTTCCAATTATTCAGCAGTACGAGAATCACTTTCCCGGCCTAGGCCGGAAAAGTTATTCCCGTATTGTTATTCATTGATTCCTTAGCAACTATTGAAACATAATTAAAATACCAGAATATTCAGTTTTGCGATCTGTCAACCGGTCAAAAATACTGACATTTCTTGTCAATCGCAGAAAAAATCTATTACTCTATTACTATGTGGATATGTAGTCGATATGGGTTGAGGTGACACTATAAGCCCATTTTTGCGCTGTTATACCTATCAATTGTTTTAGAACTGTTAGTTTTTGTTTGAGTGTTTAGTTTCGTTTAAACACTATGGGAACTGTCTATCAAGTTTTATCTTCAACAGTCTTGAATACTGACACCGAAAAAGCACTACTGTTTCAGCTGGGAGTTGATTCCAGAGGGCAAAGACTCTGTTCGAGAAAGTTCTTCCTTCACACTGTGGAATAGTTTTTTTTTAAGTTTGAGACTGTGACCTTGGAGTCTCTGGTCTGTCCCTGGTGTCTAACTGTTTGAATTTTGTTGTGGAGTATTTGGTAGGTGAAGATAAGATCTTCTCTTGTAGTAAAAAAAGTTTTTTCCGGGCTATAATGCCGTGGTTGAGTACCTAATATTTCTATCTAACGTTACGGCTACTGCTGCGGTACACATCTTCAGAGGCGGTGTGCTAGAGGACGAAGTGTTCTCTTCCGTGTTCCTCCGATGACTGGATTCGTGGATTCGACGTTGTTGAACCTGCGTTATTTATATCCAGGGTTGTGGCGGGCGTGGCTTGTATTACGCTATTTTCCTTGTGTCGTTCTCCGAAAGGAAGGGTCTTTGTTTTTCGGAGAACTGGCAACCAGCTTTTGTTAGGGTTCATGCCCTCTTCTTTTCTGTGGTCTTTCCATATCTCTATGGCCTCTCTGCTATGGAGTCTGGTGTAAAAATGTTTGGGGTTCTATCCAATGCTTGAGTCTGGTCGAAACGGATGACATGGTTTGTTTGTGTTAACACGTGTTCGACAATTGCTAATCTATTTCTCTCTGCTGATAGTTTCTTTTGTACTCTTTGACACTGGTGTTGATAGAGCGTTTGATTGTTCCTACATAGACAGTTCCACAAGAGCAGGGACTTCCATAGACACCAGTCGTTCCAAAAGGTGCCCTAGGATCCTTGGCCGATCTTACATTTTGCTGAATTATCCTTGTGTGCTTGTAGATGAGCCTAATGTTGTGTTTTTCTAGTGTTCGTCCTATGCGATCTGTGACATTTTTGATGTAGGGAAGAAAGGATCTCCCTGCCACCTGTGC